AACATGTAATACTAGTGTTGTAGTGAACATTGTGGTACTGTATTGGTGATGTAGTAAATGTTTGTACTGTCTGAGTGAACATGTGTACTGTATTGGGTGTTGTAGTAAAGGCTTGTACTGTCTTGTTGTAGTGAACATGTGTACTAGTGTTGTAGGAACATGTAGTATTAGTGTTGTAGTGAACATGTAGTACTAGTGTTGTAGTGAGCATGTAGTACTAGTGTTGTAGTGAGCATGTAGTACTAGTGTTGTAGTGAGCATGTAGTACTAGTGTTGTTGTGAACATGTAGTACTAGTGAACATGTGGTACTAGTGTTGTAGTGAAATATGTAGTATTAGTGTTATAGTGAACATGTAGTACTAGTGTTGTAGTGAGCATGTAGTACTAGTGTTGTTGTGAACATGTGGTACTGTATTGGTGATGTAGTAAAGGTTTGTACTGTCTTGTTGTAGTGAACATGTGGTACTGTATTGGTGTTGTAGTAAAGGTTGTACTGTCTTGTTGTAGTGAACATGTAGTAATTAGTGTTGTAGTGAGCATGTAGTACTAGTGTTGTAGTGAGCATGTAGTACTAGTGTTGTTGTGAACATGTAGTACTAGTGAACATGTACTGTGTTGTAGTGAACATGTAGTACTAGTGTTATATGTACATTTAGAATTAGTGTTGTAGTGAGCATGTAGTACTAGTGTTGTAGTGAACATGTGGTACTGTATTGGTGTGTAGTAAAGGTTTGTACTGTCTTGTTGTAGGAAACATGTGTACTGTATTGGTGATGTAGTAAATGTTTGTACTGTCTTGTTGTAGTGAACATTGTGGTACTAGTTAGAAGGGAACATGTAGTATTAGTGTTGTAGTGAAATATGTAGTATTAGTGTTGTAGTGAACATGTAGTACTAGTGTAGAAGTGACATGTAGTACTAGTGTTGTAGTGAGTATGTAGTACTATGTGTTGTAGTGAACATGTAGTACTAGTGAACATGTGGTACTAGTGTTGTAGTGAACATGTAGTATTAGTGTTATGTGAACATGTAGTATTAGTGTTATGTGAAAGTAGTACTAGTGTTGTAGTGAGCATGTAGTACTAGTGTTGTAGTGAGCATGTAGCACTAGTGTTGTAGTGAACATGTAGTACTAGTGAACATGTGGTACTAGTGTTGTAGTGAACATGTAGTACTAGTAGTTGTAGTGAGCATGTAGCACTAG